ATTTTTAGAGGAGTGTCACAGGGTTTTCAGAGGGCCGTGGAGAGCTCCAGACACATTACTCATCCTAAGTGCTATCTACATAAATATCTGATGTTCACGCTTCAGCTGGGAGTAGATTCTTGGAACAATTCATTCTGCCTCCGCTATCCATGAATTCAGCCGTTGACTCCCAGTATGACTTTTTCTGCTTCTCCTAGCAGATTAATTTAAGTAGGTCTGTTTTGAAACTGGTGCAGAACTTTGATGGCTAGTAAACAAAGCGTATTCAGTTGGAGCTTCCTATTTCAGATTAGACTTTGTTTGCAGCCAAATTAAACAGGATTTTAAAATTGTGTAGTCTTCTGTAGACACAGTCTGATCCTCTCATGGAAAATAAATCATTACAAAAAGTATCTTGAGAGCAGCACTGCTGTGATGCAGATTTTATCAGGCAGTACCTTTCCAGAGTAAATTTAAAAGCAAAATAAATGAAGCTGGCTCTCCAAAACAGAAATGAAACCGTTAGTATTTTGTATTTTTGTCTGATAAGGCTTGCATGCTAGGATTTCAGTCAGTAAATAGTCTTTTGTAGCATCAGTAGGATGAAAGTGTTTCATTAAAGATTTTATTACATATGGTCTGGCTTCATTAGGAACATCTCCTGCAACTGCTGTGCCAGTGGCACATGCCTAATCACTGGACAGTCTTTAAGGTATTTATGGAGTGGGGGGCACACAATTCTGATCTGGGTTGAACTTAGAGCTTGCTTTTTTTTTTTCGTCATTTGGTTTGAACATAACCTTTTCCCTCCTGTTAGTTAATTGAGAAGCCTTTTGTGCCTCCGGAAATGGCTTTCCTCTTCTGCTCAGTAACTGATGGGTGGGCTGAGAAACCTCCATTTAAAACGTCCTGATCAGGCTGGTTTGGTTTGGGGGATGCTTCCAGCGAGCTCACCACTGTTTTCCTGTGGGGACTGGGTAGGGTTGTTTCAGCAGTGGATGCATCCCAGAGGGCTGACTTCCCTATTCCTATGCCTGCCTGCAACTGGAGATGAACTGTTTCGGTTCAGATGCGAAGTAGGTACCAGGAGGCAGCTGGGAGGGGGTGCGGGGGGCTGTGAAGTTACTGCTGACTGTGCAGAGGTAGTTGACCCCAAAATTTCTTTCCAGCCGCTGAGGCTGAGTCATCCTGAAATACAGGATCCTCTGCTAGCAGGGTAAGTTTGGGTGTGAGAGTGGGACAAGGGAGCATCATAGGTGCTGACTGTGGCTCTGCCTCTAACTCCTGTATAGACCTGAAGAGGGATGCTTACAGATAGTCAGCACAGCATGTGGAAGATCAAACCAAAACCACCACCTTTCCTCTCATTCCCATTTTTTTTTTTGGTGGAAAGAGTAGTGAGGCTTAGACCCAAAGAGACCTGTGACTGTGATCCTTTCTTGGGAGAGGACCCCAGAAAAGGGGAATGGGCTATGCTGTTGTATCAGAAAATACCATGAAAGGATCGTGTCCTCTGTGTCGTTGATTCTTCCTAACAACATGTTACGTCTTTCTTGCCTGCAGCTGATCAACTTAGGTGCCTGCTAAGTTGCATCTGCTTGCTTAGAAGTAAGGGGCTTGACTCCCTGGGTTAGTCCTGGCTATACAGTGGTTTTTCTTGGGAGCAGTTGCTTAATTCCTCCTTAAAGTGAGTCCTGTTATCTTTAAGGCACAAATTTGTCAGCAAGGAAGCCTGTCTCCTTCAGGAGCTACACCGGCACTGATGGTGAGGTAGATGCTGGATGCCAGTGGGCAGACTGCTGGGCTTTTCAGCCTCATCCTTGCACTCTTAGTATTTTAACTGTCATGGGAATTGGGAGTGGGGGCAGAGCAAAAGGTGGCATCAGGCTGTGGAGTTGAGGTATAAAGGAGTAGAAAAAGGCAGTGGTGGTGCTAGCCAAGTGTGGAAACATGGAGGTAAAAGGCAGTGTTACCTTAAGAATAGATGGGTATAAATTGGCCTGAATAAATCCAGTTGGAAGGTGGATATCTCACATCAGAACAGTGAGATTCTGGGACCATTTTCCAACGTTTAGCAAATGAAGAAAAGTTGGATTTTAAAACAGATGGATCTTGGTAAGCTGTGAATAGGTTTGAGGACCGAAACAACAGAGGGCTGGATTCAGTATTAGGAAATCTTTGTGTCGGCGGTAATTTCCTTTGAACTGGTGCAACTAGCTTGACTCTCCTGCTGGCTTTTGGTCTTCTAACACTCTGTTTTCTCTGCTAGATTGTTGACTGAGCTTGAATCTCCTTCTTGGTGGCCGTTTAGCAGCAAGCTCTGGAAAGCGCCATTGGAAACCAAACCAAAGGAAACTGCCACAGTTTCCGATTCGAAGAACCAGGAAGGAATCATAATTAGAATTCCAGTTATTATCACCCACAGAACAGACTCAAATGTCAAGCCAGGAAAACTCACGCTCTTTGCCTCTGGCCTGGAAATCAGTGACTGCAATTCTCAGGTCATTCACCGGTTTGAATCGAAGGATGTAGATGATATCAGAGTTCATACGCCATACGAAATCAGTGTCCGTCAGAGATTTATTGGGAAGCCCGACACCTCTTACCGGCTCTTGTCAGCAAAGATGCCAGAAGTAATCCCCATCTTGGAGATGCAGTTTAGCAAGAAGATACAGTTTTTAGAAGATGCCCTAGGATTTGTTGGTGCCAGGAAGTCTCCTCAGGCAGATTTGGGGACCACCATTTGGCAAGCAGGTACGTGGCAGAGACAGCAATCCATCTGTAACAGCAACACCAGCACCGAAAGTTTCCAAGTGGTTTTCAAACTCAGAACAGTGTGTAATATTTAAAAGGCAAAGCCTCCTTCCCCTGCCTCAACGGTGAGACCATGCTGATGATAAAAAGCAACAAATAACTGCTAGGTGACTTTAGACCCTCTTGCCAAGAGGGACAGAGTAGAGATGACAGAATTGCATGGCCCTATTTTAGTCTAGTTGGATTTTCTTTCTCCCAACTACTTCAGCGAAACCTGCGACTGTAGATGTTGGAGTTGGGAGTCCCTCAGGAGCCTGACATCTGGAACATGCCAAGCCCTCTTTAACATTGTGCCCTCGGCTGGTGTTGTCACTGACTGCGCACCACTTTGTGAAAGGATTGGCTTAACTGGAGTTTCAGCTACTGGCTACACTCTTAACTACAGTGTCATTCTTTTTCCGGTGGTCAATATTGTGTCACTCTGAGGGGAAGGGTCATTAGAAATACCTTCTTCTCTCCTGACTGCATGCTTCAGAGTCCTCTGTCACTGCGATTTTTTCTTTTTTGGTTTGTAGCTGGAAGCATATTTATATTAAACCTGTGGTTCAGTTAATTGTCGAAAATTTTAAAACAAATTTCCAGTCCAGCAAGTTTTTAAATAGCATACGGGATAAACATCATGTTAATTTTCATATCTTAGAATATTCTTATTTGAGAAGTTCAGGTGTTTGGATTTAGGAGATTTTAGGTCTCAGGTTAAGTGAATGCGTAATTTAATCATTTTAAGAAAACACAGTGGAGACTGAAACCTTTTCACAACAATGACATTCCTAACTACTATTACTACTTCTAAAATTCCGTGGAGGCTTGTCTTTTTTGTTTTTGTAATCCAACCCTGGATTCATTTGGATAGCTGCTGAATTTCTGTCTGTTAGGAAATTGTTTCTGTCGACATGCCTGAATCCTCTTTTATTCCCTAATCATTAGTGACAAAACGGCAAATCAGTGGATGGATTTGTTGCCAGTGTATTAAAAACAAGTAGAAAAATGATACAGAAAAACAATAGATTAACCTATTTCTATGCAGCAAGCTAAAATTGGACTTCAGCAGGGAGGATAACGTCTTCTTGTTGACGAGTTGTCAAGGGCCATAGCTTGGAAAAGCTTGTTAATTTTGAAGGAAGTAAGTCTTGGGCATCTGGCACTAAAATGTCAGCACAACAACTTAGAGGAAAAACAACCTGCTGGTTTCTTAGGCACTGAGTTATTCCAGCAAATTGGTGTTCAGTTCCTGATGGTCTTAAGGCTGGTTACATAAAATAATTGGTTATGCAGCCCAACTGTGCTTAATTTCCCACTGCTCTGCTGTGTTTGCATCTGAGTCAGTGAGTCAAGGATGTTGCTCTCCTACCCCCACCTGCATTTGGACTGTTTAATTTGGAAATGTCAGTGAAGAAAACTGGAGGTTATGGAAATCCTGACTTCTCCAGCTCCACCAAACCCCTTGTTTGTTCCTTCGCCGGAGTCTGTCACCGTCTGTCTTCTATCACAAGATGGCAGTCACGGACTGCGTTTTAACATCTGTTTTTTGGGAAAAAAGTCTGTGTTGTGCATGTCTGCCTTTGTGTACACATAAAATATATGTGTGTATTCTCAGATAGCAAATGTTGATTCAGAGACTTATAGCAGAAATATCCTTGCAGCGGAGGTACATCTGTCTTGGCGAAGGGGCTCGTAGCGTTCTTTGCTCTCGGTGCTGCAGCTCGGAGATCTGAACATTTCTACAACTGTCAGAGTCTCATCTGGATCCTGTCTGTTTATACTAGTCCTGCCTTAAAGTTGTCCGTATAGCATGTTTGTATAAGTAAAAACAAAAAACTCATCTTTCCTAAGAGTCTTGGCTTGATTCCACCTAGAAGAGGAATTTGTGAAGAGTTTTATACACACCAGATTATCTGAAAGTATTTTTAGCTGCTTTGCATGTCTTTTCTGACTGTATTTTTATGGACCAAGCCACCTGGGTGTTTAACTGCTCAGGACAGAGCAGTAAGGTTTGTTCTGTAGCAGAGGTTCTTCTGTGCTGGATCAAGCCAGTACATTCCTAGCCAATAACTTCCTAAATAATGGCTGATAACAGCTACCCAGGATTAAAAAGTGCAAGAAATCCTACAGTGTGTCTGCAGTATAGCAATCTCAGGCAGTGCTGTCTCAGTCCTGTAGCTGAAGACTGGCATTCCCAGTTTTTTATCCCTTTTGAGGCTGCTGAATTTTTCCTGCTTACCCCTGTGACCGAGTGCTGTCATTATTATGAGTTTCCAGCGCTTTGTTCAGAGGTTTGGTAGCTTCTTGTCCTCATGTGGTGGCAGCGAGTCTCACAGTCCGATTGGGTGTTACACAGACAAAACAAAATTGCTTTTTAAATGTTTCTGCCTTCCTGTTCAATTCTCTCCCTTTTTATAAACTAGAAAATTGCTGGGAAATGCTAGATCTCCTTCCTCATCCCATTCTTTTTGTGCACCTTTGTCATATCCCCCTCCTGTTCTTTTCCTCAGCAAGATTAATGGAATGAAATGGATAGATTTTGTGTTTTTAATGAAATAATTAGCATATGGTGACACTCAGCTGATAAGAAAGACAGAGAATCTCATCTGGCGATTTGTTGCCGTAGGAAGGTCTGTCATTCCCTCCCTGCTTTGTCGTCTGAGGGAGACCATGACAGTAATTTACGCTAAGCAGCATTTTTCAGTGCCTGGTTCTTAGCCCCTCCGAATACAGGGAGCATTTGCACAGGGTAACACTAGCGCAGTGAATGACTTGCTTGTCTTAAATCTTGACGGTGTCTGAGTCCAGTGACTCTCAGGCTGATAACCGAATAATTCCAGGGATTATGAGTTGCAGTAATTACTTGAGAGGGATTTAGGGTTTGGTACTTCTCGGTTTAGCTTTTGTCTCCCTTTTCACGGGGAAGTAATGCTATCCAAAGTGGTCGGGTGTACGCCATCCGTTGGCCAGCCAGCTTGGCACCAGCTCTTCGACCTGGCGATGAGCTCTGGCCTCCGACGTGCCTTGTGTCCTGATGTACACAAGAGCTGCTGTCGTTGTCCTGTGCTGGGTCAGGCCATGTGCTCACGGTCGCGTTAGCTTGCTCCTTGGTACCTCTTTAAGCGGGAGAGCTTTGGAGATGTGTGAAGCGCCTCTAGGAGCCAAGATGTGTGTCTCGGGTGTTTAGCACCCATCTGCATCAGAAATAACAACCTTTCCTTGCAGCATGTCCCTGCTACCCTGCTGGGTAGTATCAGATACTGCAATAAGAGCTGATGCTTTAAATAAAGGGCAGGTAGCATGTTACACGAGGGGTTGCGTCCGCGCTGCTTAGCTGGGGGTGGCTGTTGGCGTCAGTGTTGCCCTTCTGTTTCAGGGGTTTGCTGACTTGACTCTTGAGCTCTGTCCCTGAGCCATCACTTTTAAATTCCATAATTAAAAAGATTAAAGAGAGAAGGAAGCGGCAGGTGGAGAATTCTTGTTTATCTGATGGGGAGTGTGTTGCGGTGGCTACTTCACTCTCCCTTCAGATGAATCTCCACAGCCCAAAATGAACCCGTTCTCCAAATGCTGCCTTTAGTAATAAGCCATCTCTCAGCAGCCTGGTCACTTCCAGTTTAGGCATTGTTCAAAAGACAGCTTGAATTGTTTCTAGAAGAACGTAGCTTAACAGGCAAGGTTGGGTTAGGCTTCTCTGAGTGTGCTTGTCCCCCTGCAAACTGCTGTGGAGCAAAGCAGAGGTCAACCAGTTTGAGACTAGCACTGGTCCTCCCCGCTGGTACAGGAGATGGCAGTCTGACCACAGGAATTTCTCTTGCAGCCACGGGACTCCTGGGAGGAGTGGTGCAGCCCAGCTCTCCGGTAGGAGGCAGAGAAGGCATGGATGATGACCAGGTTCAGCTGCAGAAGCAAGAGAAGATTTCCCAGGAAGAAGCAAAAGAGCTGAAACAGGTATAAGTCGAGATAACTTGGAGAAGAGTTGTTTCACTCCCTCTTCTTCCTTAATAACATGCATTTTCACCATCAGAAACAATGTCATTACCTTTAACAAAATATTCCTCTACCTAAATTTAAATAGGCACATTTTAAAAATCAGGTAATCAAACCTGTGATTAAAATACACTGATAACTTTATATTTGTTTTTAACTATTTTGAACAATCGGGGATGACTAGCAAAATATATTAAGTGATAGGATTATAACCCAAGGAAAATCCTCAGCTGTAACCTGTTTTTTCTGAAGATTAAGAAGTTTAACAATTAAAGAATTTTCAGCTTTTTTGTGTTTTCTCTATGCTATCTTATTCTTTCTGGTAAAGAGTAGCAGTTCTATTTCAGAAATGTCCACAAAGCTGAACAAAGTGTTTCATAAACATATAGAGAGAACTTGTAGTTAGGAAATAAGTATGCAGTCCAGCAAATTAATAAAGGGGAAA